TAGGAGAACAAATCTTTAGCTGGATGAAACTGGTTAAAAAGGTGCCGAGATCTACCTCGAGTGGACTATTTGTTCTTTCTTGCTTGTGAAACGGACATAGTTGACTCCCTGCACATGGAGAAAATAACGGAAAAGTGGAGTGCAATTAAATCACGGAAAATTTCCCTTGATTTAAAAACATTTAAAGTAATTATTACTTGCCTGTTTTGTTGCTTCATCATAGGCTGCAGGATTTCTGGTTTAGTTAGCCTGCAACCCTGACACTATTCAGTTACATTGTGGGAACAGTTTGGTAAATTTTTTAGACTTCACCCTCCCTCTCCCACCCCCAATTTGAGATCCTAATTGGTACCCCTTGTGTGCCAAATGTCATTCCAAAATTACCTCATTAATAGGGAGTGCCACTTTGGAGGGAGCCATTGACTACAGAACATTTAGGAGCTTGTGTGTGGGATCCTGAATCTCTTTCAATGGGATCTAAAGGGTTTTAGCAATCCTCTGGAGAAGTTCTTGTTACTGCCTGTAAGCATCTGGAGGGGTTAGGAACGGGTCATCCCTTCATCCAGAGATGATGATGCTGCCATCAGCAGATCCAGTGGAGCTGGCTGCTCCAATTCCTCTGGAGAGTGTTCTGCTGGTCGTGATTTCTGTTGAGAGCAGAGCCCCATCTGGTCAAAGTCTGGGAGTCAATAGTAAGTGTCCCAAGCACTCCAGTATGGCCAATGGGCAGGATCACAGAGGTAGGGGCAGACCCCTTGGGGGGTATCATTGATTGCTGTCATCAGGTATGGGTCCATCAGATGCAAGGGTCTCCAGAATGCTTTAGAAACCCTATCTGGGCTGATGCTCAGCATGGGGACTTGTCGGAACTGGAGGTATTGGCTCCTGCTCTTCCTCAGAGTACGAGGTGTCTGACTCAAATGGCAGAGGCATCAATACCATGTGTCTTATGGCAGCTCTCCAAGGCATATTCTGGTGAGTATGGAGCATCCCCAGCTCTGCTCATGGTCAGGACTGGTGAGTAATGGGTGGGGAGTGTAGTGACGTGTCTCACTCGCACCAGGTCCAACAGGATCAATGACTCCTGGTCCGTGTAAAATGTTACATCCTTGAGAAGGGTGTACACCAAGGTATGGCCGGAGGAAAACTGGCCAGAATCGTTGGTATGGGATCTGTCAATGCAGCCTGAGGTATGGTGTCATGAGGTACTGCTGGAGGCAGATGGCGAGTGCTCTTGACTGACTGTCTATATACACTTTCGTGGCTGGTTTTGGGCCACTGGAAGCTCATGGTACTGTCAGTGCTGTCCCGTGTTCCCCATGAGCTCCAGGCACACCCACTCCAGGGCATGGAGTCTCACTTAGTCACGAGCAAAGGGGGAGATGCCACCCTCTTCCTCAAGGACTTATGGGAAAATTCTGACTTCTTATGTGGGTGTTTCTCTCTACCCTCATTATGGAGTACTCTTAGAGGAGTTGTTGGGCCTACTTGAAGATGCTGGAGGGGCACTGGTGGGAGGTTCTGGTCGATGCGGCGGAGAGCAAGAGAATCCCAGATCAGACAAAAGCCTAATGGAGAGCTCCATCAGATGCCTGAACTCCTGGGACTGCCTGCTAGGAGGGGAAAAGGATTGGCAGATGTCACATTCTGATGGCAGTAAAGGTAGCTCTCATGCAGGTCACTTACTGTAAGACCCAGTAGGCAAGGCAAGGCTTGAAGCATCAGACCTGGGGCTTAAGCACTCCAAACATTGGGGGAATAGGGGAACCCCCTGATCCCTGTTAAGTAACTACAACTTATAAATTGACTAACTATCAGAGAAAAATGATAATAAAAACTGTTTACAATATGTACAGGTTAAAGCCCAAGCAAGTTCGAAGGCTATGGACATAGGAAAGTCTCGTCTCAGACTGTGAGCGGTAGAAAGGAACTGACGAGTCAGTCTGTCTGTGCCAGCTCTTATGCCTACAGTTTGCAGCATGAGGAGGCACAGATATGGAATTTGGATACTGCTATGAAGAATTTCTGGTCCTGAGTGTTCAGAGTACATGCACACCCACAGTGAGTACCCATAAGAACCAGCACTCAAAAAAGATCTCAAGCTAGAGCCGATCAGAAGTGTTCAGATGAAAACACTCTGGCATTTTCCAACCAGCTAAAATTAGAGAAGAGGACTTGTTTTCCATAGCCTCTGGGGCTCTGTAAAATGAATTAGTAACTAAATATAGGCAACCAAACAAAACATGTTAAACATGGTAACCTTCCTGTGATGTTCTTCCTACAACTCCCAGGTATCCACAAAGTACTTTACATACAAAGAAAAGGGCGGCGGCAGATACTCGCACGACAGCATGGGGTATAAATCAGGGCAGAATCTGGCACAGCAAATCCAAGTCTGTATTTTGTCTTCAATTCTCCAGATTTGTAAGAGGTATTTGCTTAGTTTCTGTTAGAAACGAGATCCCAGGCATTGTTTCCACATGTGATTGGAAACTGAACAGCGATTTGTCCAACTACTACTACATCTACATGTCTGTTATTCAGACATAGGCGGGGTGAAAGTGAGCCGGTACAGGCCGATATGGCGTACCGGTAAGAAGCCGTTACCACCCCGTATGCAGCCCACAAGCGCCATGGCAGTGCTTTATCGTCCCTGTCCCTTTTGTCTCCCCTGTTGGCAGCCCTTTTAAATCACCGCCGGAGCCCCGAGCGGCAGGGGCCAGGCAGCACAGATGGGCTGGCTGGGGGATGCTGACCCCCCAGCGCCCCCCTTCCACCCAAGGCTTGGCCCCCGTACTGGTAAGTTTATTATTACTTTCACCCCTGACCATAGGTAATGTGTTACTTGGCATTGCTATTAGGGGAGAATAAATTGTGAACAAAATAAGAAAAAAAATGCCAACAAGTTGAAGTAGCCCAACATCACTTCAGAATAGGCACTGAAACAGTGAAAAAGGTGGGCAAGGAACTCTTGGACAAATTAAGGGAATGAATAAGACTGAACCAACTTGACCTCCTTTTCTCCAGTGTAAATCGAGGCATTACCCTGGAATCAGAGAAGTTTAATTTACACCACTGTAACTGAGAATAGAATTTGATTCAGCATCTCTCCTGGTCTCTCTTTGGTCTTGCATATTGCTATACATGCAAGGAAGCAGAAGTTGTTTCACACCTTTGCTTTTGTTATTAATAGGGTTGTTTTCTGCAGGACTGCGTGGAGAGACCAAGGATATCACTGTGTGAAAACTTTTCTTATGAGAAATGTCTTTTTAAAAGAAAATGACTTCTGCAGAAGATAGTTGATTGCAAAAAGACTTCAAAGACTTATCTGATTTTTGTTCTGTGCATGTGTGATTTTCCAAATCTCCTTGCAGTAGTCAAATACACATAGCTGAATATTAAAACCAATTTTATTAACAAGGGGACTATTGGCCTGGCCCATGAGGTTGTCCATACTGTTTATAAAGGTCAGCAGCTGGCAAGACTGTCAACGTCCTGACATGATTTCTTTGAGCAGATTTCTCATAGGAGTTCCTTGAGCACAGCTGGGAGCGTGTCCCTCAGCCCCATTATGGATAGGGCCCTACCAAATTCACAGCCATGAAAAATGGGTCATGGTCCATGAAATCTGGTGTCCCCTCATGTGCTTTTACCCTATACTATACAGATTTCACGGGGGAGACCAGCATTTCTCAAATTGGGTGTCCTGCCCAAAAGGGAGTTGCAGGGGCGTCACAAGATTATTTTAGGGGTGTCACAGTATTGCCACCCTTACTTCTGGGCTGCCTTCAGAGCTGGGTGGTTGAAGAGCAGCAGCTGTTGGCCACGTGCCCAGCTCTGAAGGCAGCAGCCTGCCAGCAGCAGCACAAAAGCAAGCATGGCAATGCCATACCATGCCCCCTTTACTTCTGTGCTGCTGCCTTCAGAGCTAGGTGGCCGGAGCGTGGCGGCTGTTGACAAACGGCCCAGCTCTGCAGGCAGCAGCGCTGCCTTCAGAGCTTGGCTCCCGACCTGCAGTCACTGCTCTCCAGCTGCCCAGCTCTGAAGGCAGCGCTGCCGCCAGCAGCAGTGCAGAAGTAGGGGCAGCAGTACCGCAACCCCCTCCTTCCCCACAATAACCTTGCAACCCCCCCCCCCACACACACAACTCCTTTTTGGGTCAGGACCCCTACAATTACAACACGGTGAAATTTCAGATTTAAATAGCTGAAATCATGAAATTTATAATTTTTAAAATCCTATGACAGTGAAATTGACCAAAATGGTCAGTGAATTTAGTAGGGCCCTAATTATGGAGGAAGCACTAATTAGGGCCCAGAATTCCCCACTTGCCTTCAGCAGCTGGGAAGGACAGGAGGTCCACCTCCTAGACAGTAACCAGTGGCACTAAGAGAACCACAACGTGCCTGTGGCCTTTGACTGAGAGGAGACACTTCTGGCAGAAATCTCAGGCTAAACCTGACCAGCTGCAGCTAATTTGTTCTTTTGACTCCCGTGCTGCCGCTGTGTGGGAAGTGAAGGAAGGTCTGTTTGCCTTCACCACATCTTCAACCAAATCTCACAGGGCAGAACTGTTGTACGTGATGCAAAGCCTGGTTAATCTGAGCTGCTCTTCTCCGTGACAGCACAGAATGTTTGTATGTCTTGCAGACAAAAGCACTTGGATGTCCTCAGCACTGTCTGCTTCTGCCTTGCATTGCACAGTTGTGAGGGCACAAATGCCAAGCCTTCCCTGCTCCCGTCTCAGCAAGCCAGCGTTGCTCGCTGTGGTTCTCTTGGTGTATTATTAAAAGGCAATATCACTGGTAACTAAGCCAGTGAGCATTTCACCCTTCTAAAACAGGACAGTGCTATAAACTAAGCAGTCAAAAGAGAAGCAGTGGTGGAAAAAAATGACAAAACCAATTGTCTCAGGTGTTAAATCTTTCACATGCATTCTGGGTAAGAGGGCCGTAATGCAGAACCCTATCAGACAACGCAGGAATGCAGCATACACTGACCTGTGTACATTTTCCATTGCTGCTACTTCTGCTAGAGCAGCTAGGCTAAAGAATGCAGACACAGCTGGCATGCCTGGCGTAATACTATGAGTGTCCTCTGCTTCTGTGCTTCTTGAGCATTCGTCGTTGCAATCGGTCTCCGCACTTGATGTTTTTTGGAGACTACTCTGTGGTAGCTCCTTTGGTTTTTCCTCTATAACAAAAGAAAGAAAGTAAAACTTGCAGGCAGCGGGGCAACAAAGTCAGCTACAGCTGTGTACTGAACAGTGCTTAGTATAAAGATGTTAACATGCATTTTTCCATCATTAATTGAGACTTTATCATCTGTAATCCAAATTTACTACTGGGGCTCTCTGCCTCCCTCTAATGGCTGGATGACATAGAAGTTTATGCTATGCACTGTGATCTAACACATTTGGATTTTTTTGCTCAGCCAGTGGAAGCTAATGCTTTTAAAAAATCCAGAGATCCCGAGTTCAATCCCCACTGCTGATGACCTACCTATGGACATCACATTACCCCTGTCTTTATATACACTACAGGGCCCAATTTCACATCCATTAACTGCACCCGCTATGCAGGCACAGTACCTTCGCTTTGCTGGACCGGTAGCATGTTATCTTAAGAGAGGTAAACTATGTTCCAGCACTCTCTCTGTGTGCCTCTCCCACTCCTCATACAGAAGTTTAGAGATAGATTTTTTTTGACATCTAAAATTTTTATCCAACAGTAAATTGCCTATTTGGAGCTTATTGAGTCCCTAGATGGTATGACCCAATTGGTACCTGTTTTTATAGAATTATTTTTCCAGTACAGGCGTATGACCTCTTCCCTACTAGGGATATGTTTCCCTACTAGTTTACTTATACCTCAGAACCACTCTCAATAATCTAGATTTATCATAAATTTAGACTCTCGTCTCCTTACCCTGAGCCCCTCCTGCTGGTGACACTCGGCCATCTGCTGTCCGAACAAGATGTGTGATCTTAGTTTTCCTCGCTTTCCTCTTTTGGCTACCAACCAAGGGTTCATGCAGCAGTGCTGGCTCTGGAGTATTTGGGACAGATACAGAAGTTTTATTCTTCCGTGCAGGCTCACTGGGGTTTTTGTCTTCTGCAAGTATGGCTGAAATGGGACAAGTCAGTTACAATTACAAGTCAAACGTAAAACACTAGAATTGCTAACTATACGCACATTCATATCTGTCTGCACATGACACTTACAATACTCACTAATGGGACTGCATGAAATTTGCAGGGCTCGAGTCATGGAAGTGTTTGTGAGCTGCACCTTGTGTTTTGGATTTGCAAGGAATAGCATTGGACCAATTCTTGCAGGTTTCTCTGAGGTTCAAGTTTCTATTGTTTTAAAAAGATCTAGCGAGTACAAACTGTGACAGACTGACAATATCCTGCAACATCCTGGACACACCTTGTGGAATTAAGAGAAACTTTATTGAATTAAGGCTAATACCTTTGGGGTCCATTATATTAAAAATATAATAGTGCATGTTATTGGGGAACTGTATGCAACTCCTCTAGGAGGGGGACCCTAATGTAATTCCTCTGATTTTCGGTCCTTTGAAGCCATCCCTTGAAGAGGTTCGCATATACTAGTTTAAAATGATGCATCCGAAGAAGTGAGGTTTTAACTCACGAAAGCTTATGCCCAAATAAATCTGTTAGTCTTTAAGGTGCCACCAGACT